GGCGAGGCGCGGCGGGTTTAGCGGGCGTAGCTTGGGTTGTATTCCGCGACACGGCCCCGCCGATAAGCTTCCGCCGCAGCGCACCGCCGCGCCGCCCCCGCCCCCGCCCCCTTCGACATCGGCAGTGCAATCGCGCCATACACACCACACGCGTGTTGTGACAGTCACGAGGTTGGTTTTATGGAGGGAAATATTAACGCATTTCGTGACGCCATGACATACCCATCCCAACACCGCCCAATCGAATCAACCGGAGCAGGTGGGAGAGCTTATCGTAGGCCCCGCTAAGGCGAAGGGTCCGTCGGTGAGCCTCTCTGACCTAGTGAAGGTGAAGACCCTTGGCACGGGCACGTTCGGAAGGGTCAAGCTCGTTCAGCACAGGAAGACCAAGCAGGTGAGGGGAAGCGAGCTAGCTCGGCATGTGTGTGCTATGCATGTGCTGTTAAGTGTGTGTAGTGCACTTGGAATGCTGTTTGTGTGTGTGTGTGTGGATGCATGTTTGCTGGAGTCTTTTTTACAGGTGTGTGGTGTGTGTCTGTGACGACGCATATTGATGGGCGTATGCATGTTTGCATGCGTCTACCGTTGGTTGCAGAAGATACCAGGCACCCCTGGGCCGATTTTCAAAGCTCGATTACTACACTATGTACGCCAAAATCATGTGATGCGTTTTTTGGAAGGCTCTCAACGAGACGATACCAAGGCCTCCCGCCACTTGTAGCGCTAGAACTGTTTTCGCCACATTGAACAGTTATTCGAGCTTTGAAACTCGGTCCAGGGGGTATGTCATCTTGCGCAATCTACGCGAGATGGCGGTGTACAGGAGGGGTCCCGATGCATACACCGTCTATAAAGTGCTCTCGAATAGCAATGTCACTTGTCACTTGGCGCGGGTGTTGGCAACCGTGCTTGAACCAATGTTTTTCACTATAGCGCGAGGTCCCTCAAAAGGCGGGGGTCACGTTAGCCTTGACACTGCTGCTGGACCGCGGGATATCAGCCCCCCCCCTTTATATGTAGTGGTGTGTAGTATCGTGCCAATAGGATCGATCGATACGTCGTGGTCGGTGTAGCTCGCGGCAGCAGCGGCAGCGCAACTAGACGCGGTTTGGTATGGGTGCCCCGAGCCCCAAGCTGTGTTGCGGCCTTGGTGGAGGTTGGTGTCAAGAGCCAAGAGCCAAGAGGCCGCCGGTGTCGCTCGGTGTTCCAAGCGGCGACCAGGCCACTCAAAATAACAAGTATATTTGAACGATGCGCACAGAAAGCACTTGTAGATTACCTGCGATTGTACAGTATGTATGTAGCCTGTGGGCATACCTGGTGCTGTCTTTCGCCAAAAACATACTGCTGTGTTACCTTTTCTTGTTCTTTCGGGGGCAGTTGCAAGTATTTCGATGGAAGTCCACATGGCAAATTCGCCATGGGGTTCATATTGTCAAGAAAAAGAAATGCGTACCCGCACATTACAGAAGCAGAACATATTAACCATCGGGCGAGACAACGAAACAGAGGTTGGTTTTTGTCGTGTACGTATGCTTACATTCTGGAAAATCAAAACTCAACCAGGACACGAGTTGTAATATTTATATTTTCGGTGCTTGTATGCGTACCGCTGTATGTACTGCACCGTCTTTTCTTACATCGTTCCGAAAAAACGATCAGGTGTTCGCCATGAAGTGCATGCAGAAGGCGCACATCGCCAAGTCTCACCAGTCCCGCAACATCATGAACGAGAAAAACATCCTGATGGCCTGCGACCACGCCTTCATCCTCGACCTCCTGTGCACGTACAACACCACCAACGAGCTCCTCATGCTCACGGAGCTGCTGCTTGGGGGCGAGCTTTGGTGAGTGCCGCAACAAAGTAGTGTTACGTACGTACGTGTTGGTTGGTCGTCCGCTGAAGGAGGTGTACTGACAGCCGTGCATGCCGTAGTCGTTGAACCGTTTGAACTCACTTCCTCACAAAGGCGGAACGCGGAGGAGCACGCCGGGTTCTCACCGGACCAATCACGAGGGGCGGGGAAAAAAAATGTTGGCAGCTTGGTGTAGGTTTTTGTGTCGCGCCGGCACCCGTGCCTACTGCTGTAGCTAGGGGTGTGGGTCCTTTCTGTAGTTGAGGGTGTTTGCTGCCACCTCCCCCCCAACGGACAAAAAAGTAACGACGGTCGGAGCTGGAAACAACTGAGATACGTCCGTTGATTGGGCCCGTCATTTATGATTTTGCCGATAAATTACGTTTCGTCACCCCTATGCATGTATGCGTTCGGCGCTGTATGCGGGCAGCCCGGTCGACGGAGGAACGGCGTACCGTTCATAAGAGTAGAGCAAACACTCCACGCACACGTGTGGTACATGGAGTAGAGCAACCACTCCACACACACGTATCCCCGCGTGATTCAATTTAGCCACAACATTTCAAACAACACTCAATCAAGTAAACACGCCATCAACACGCACATATCCACCTCTGCGTGCTTCAAACAAACGAAAAAACGAACCAGGTCCTACATCTACGAGAGGCACACCCCCATCACCAAGACCGGCCTCGGGGGTTTCTCTTTGAGCGTGGCGTCCTTCTTCTGCGGGTGCGTGGTCCTGCCCCTGCAGTACCTTCACCAGATGTCGGTGGCCTACCGCGACCTGAAGCCGGAGAACCTCTTGCTCGGCCAAGACGGTTACCTTAAGGTACGCATATGCGTACCGTACCATAGATGATACCGTCACTTGTGAGTGTATGTCTGTCTGTCTGCCTGTCTTTCTTTCTATCTGTTGGTCTATGAGTGTCTGTCTGTCTGTCTGTCTGTCTGTCTTTCCATCTATCCCTTCAACTGCTTTACTGGCACCCGTTTTTTTGCACACCTTGGTAGGACGAATTGTACTTGTATGTATTAGTAGATCCCCCTCTTTAACTGCTCGTTGGTCTACAGACACCCATTTTCTTTTCAAACCTTGGTATGGTGTTGCTGTATGCAGTAGCCCCCACTCTGGAGCTGCTGCAGCTGATTCTGTCCGCCTTTTTTTTTTTTTTCTTGCGCCTATTTCTTCGTGTGTCCAAGACCAGTCGCTACTTGTAGCTGTCGTCTACGCACACACTCACATGTTGTTGTGGTGCTGTACATGCTCACGACGGGTCACGACGCGCCCGTCGCATGTCGGCAGAGGACCGCTACAGCTACAGCAGTAGGCCGGCCGACCACAAGTGCCTCCTCGATCGTGTGTGGCGGCTTGTCCCACTCTCGCTTGCAAGAGGCGCGTTGGTTGAGTGTGGTGCTGCACCAAAAGCGTCACATCTTCTTGGCTCCCGTCACGCGAACAACAAGGACAACACCGGGAGGGAGGAAAGAGTATAATACACGCTCAACCCTCCCCAGACAACAGTTGTTTGATAACAACGAAAGATTCCATGTGCTAAGCCAACTAACCCCGCCAACCACAGGTGATCGACTTCGGGTTCGCCAAGCGCATCCCCTTCAAGAAGGACACCACGCTGCAGACCAAGTCCTTCACGCTGTGCGGGACGCCCGACTACCTCGCGCCCGAGCTGGTGCTGTCTCGCGGCCACGACAAGGCCGTCGACTACTGGGCCCTCGGCTGCTTCCTGTACGAGCTCCTGTGCGGCAGGACCCCCTTCACGGACCCAAGGCAGGCGGAGATCTTCAAGAAGGCCATCCGCAGCGAGCGGTTCTTGGCGTTCCCTGCTGGGTGAGAGCAGAGAGCAACGCGTCTTTTGTTTTGGATACCGGTGGCCTGATAGAGGTGGCTTGAGATAAGAGACACACAAGAGAGAGAGAGAGAGAGAGAGAGAGAGAGAGTGATGGGTGGTGGTAGGTACATGTGGTGCGTTGCATGGTGTAGAGGCTAAAGACACTCGCCCTTGGTGAAGAAGGTGGGAATAGCGTGACGTTGCACGCTCTCCCCCCCCCCCCCCCCCCCGGTGTTTGCCATCGGGGTTGGGTTTTCGTCGCTTGGCAACGACGTTGTAAAACAGGCCAATTCACTTCGTGAACTCGGCAACCAGGTTACCGTTTTTTTTTTTTACCTCGTTTTTTTTTTTGGCGGTAACCATAATGGTGGTCGAGTAGATCATGTTGTGCGGGGTCGAGAAACCTCACTCCGCGCAACGGGGGATGATCGCACCTCGTTGTGTTAAAATGGTCAAGCATCCTCGAGGCAGTTACACAGTGCTTACAACTGTCTCTGGAAGTGAAAGCACCAGAAAATAAATCAAGTCATACGTAGCTGTCATCCGTACGCAAGAAAGTAAGCACAAGATGCCGAACACCCTTAGCAGGATGGCAGCTCACCCTTCATGCGACTCGCCAAATACCTCACGGCGCTTCGCGCTTGGTGATGTGAGAGCCTGGTCCGGTGAGAACCCGGCGTGCTCCGTCCCGGCTTTGTAGGGATGCGAGGTCAATGGTCAAACGACTACGGCATGCACGACTATGAGTACACCCCCCCCCCCCCCCCCCCCCCCCCCCCCC